GATTACTTTTCAAAGTGGGCCGAAGCGATTCCGCTTAGAGAAGTGAAGACGAACAACGTCATCAATTTTATCAAACATCATGTCATATACCGACACGGCGTGTCAAGACGGATCATTCACGACAACGGTCCACAGTTCATAAGCAACGCATTCGTCAGGTTTTGTGACAAGTTCAAAATTCAAGATGTTTCGTCAACAGCTTATTATCCCGCCGTGAATGGATTACCTGAGGCTTTTAACAAGACGATCATTAAGATCTTGTCAAAGCTCGTGAAGACCAATAAACAAGACTGGGACGATAAACTCGGTGAAGCACTCTGGGCTTATCGCACCACCATACGCACACCTACAGGAGCTACCCCATATTCGTTGGTATACGGATGTGAAGCTGTGCTACCATTAGAGATCCAAATCCTATCCCTTCGGATCGCCCTCGCGACTGAGATGACGACAGAAGAACAACATCGGAAACGTCTCGAAGAACTCGAAAGGTTGGATGAAAAGCACTTGGAAGCTCAACAACACATTGAGTTTTATCAAGCCAGAATATCTAGGGCTTTTAACAAAAGAGTCCGACAGAGAAGCTTCAAGGAAGGAGATCTGGTCCTCGCTGCTCGCCGACCGATAATCCTTAACTCCAAGAAGAAAGGTAAATTTGAACCCAAATGGGAAGGACCGTTTGTGATGGACACAGTCTACTCAAACGGCGCATATCGCCTGATTACTCAAGAGGGCGCCAGGCAATTATGACCAATAAATGGGAAGTTCCTGAAAAAGTACTATCCCTAGTACATTCAGGATAACCCATTTACCGGGAAGTTCCTTGAAGAATATTACACTTAATATTCTAGAGGATAACCCAAAATCATTTTCACCACCAAAATCCCTCACTGATCAATTTCAATTGACAGTGAGTCTACCAAAAGTGTCTTTCTGGCCCTCTTGACTCTTTCCATGAACAAGAGGCCCACTTTCAGTTCAGAGTCCCCTTTCGATAAACGAAAGAATTCCTTTCTTTTCTCTTTGGTTAAGCCTTCTCATGATTATAACCGAAGTTAAAATTTCACTTCGATAAACGAAGAACTCATCTTCAGTTTAGATAACCAATCCTATAAAAGGTAAGTTTATCTAGATTTTCCAGATTCTCGGAGTGGAGATCCCACTTCTAGTTTTTTTTACGCTGGAAATAGAATATAAAATTCTTCCTTTCCAGAATCAAGGAATAGAATATAAAATTCTTCATTCCTTGTACTCGGGTTCGCCTTCACCCTAAAAGAAGACCGGGAAACAGAATATAAAATTCTTCCTTTCCCGCACTAATCTTTTTCACAATTTATCAATCTAGGATTCATCCTAGGAAGTTTATCCCGAATCCTAAGCAGGGATAAGTCTACGCCTAACACGCGTCGCCGGTTTAGTCTTTTTCCGTAGAAAAAGACACCAGAGTTCGATTCTGGGGTATTCTATCCTGAAACCTAAGCAGGGATAAGTCTGCGCTTAACATGCGCTGCCGGTTAGTTCTTAACCGTTAAAAAGAACACCCGTTCACATATTCAACATTGTGGCAGGTTGTTATTAATAACACCAAAATCCATGCCTTACACGCATGGGGAATTTCATCCTGAATCCTAAGAAAGGATATGCCGACGCCTAACACGCGTCGCGTTTAGTCTTTTTCCGTAGAAAAAGACACCAGAGTTCGATTCTGGGGTATTCTATCCTGAAACCTAAGCAAGGATAAGTCTGCGCTTAACCCGCGCTGCCGGTTAGTTCTTAACCGTTAAAAAGAACACCCGTTCACATATTCAACATTGTGGCAGGTTGTTATTAAATAACACCAAAATCCATGCCTTACACGTGTGGGGAATTTCATCCTGAATCCTAAGAAAGGATATGCCGACGTCTAACACGCGTCGCCGGTTTAGTCTTTTTCCGTAGAAGAAGACACCAGAGTTCGATTCTGGGGTATTTTCTCCCGAATCCTAAGTAGGGATAAACCAACATCTAACACACGTTGCCGGGTAGCCTATTCCCGTGATAATGGCGAAGCCTATGTATTCGACATCATAGCACAAAGTCTCGGAGAATTCACTCTCTTAGCACAACGTTACATGCAGAACGGATTTAGACAATCCGCATGCTAGCCCGACTCAAACGGTAGTCGATAAAGGCTAATCAAATCCGTTGAAGGCTGGGGGTTAGCCAAAAACCCTAAAGTCAACCCTAAAGTCAACACCTAACACGTGTCGTCGGGTAGCCTATTCCCGTAACAAATGGTAAAGCCTAGCACAAAGTCTCAGAGAATTCACTCTCTTAGCACAACGTTACATGCGGAACGGATTTAGACAATCCGCATGCTAGCCCGACTCAAACGGTAGTCGGTAAAGGCTAATCAAATCCGTTGAAGGCTGGGGGTTAGCCAAAAATCCTAAATTCAGCGCCTAACACGCGTCGCCGGGTAGTCTATTCCCGTGAGAAAGACGAAGTCTACGTATTCAATATCGTAGCACTAAGAGTGTTAACTCTCTTAGCACAACGTCACATGCGGAACGGATTTAATAATCCACATGCTAGCCCGACTCAAACGGTAGTCGGTAAAGGCGCATTAAACCCGTTGATGGCTGAGGGTTTACCAAAAATCCTATATATGTGAAAGTCACTGACGCACCAGCCCCATTAGTCTGTTTCGTGACTTAGACATCCAACAAATTCGGGATAAGATCCACACGTGCAGATGAATCAGCTTTAATAGTTGGTCCTGCAGCCCAATATTTAGGACCGCCATGCTCCAATACCTCAAGAGCTTAAACTGTGTATACTCCAACAAACGTCAAGCGATCTGAAATCCTAGGGTCAACGCCGGTCAACGCGTAACCCTAGGTCAACGCCAGTCAACGCGTTACGATCAAAAAATCAACGTACGACGTTCGAAACCCTAGGGTCAACGCCGGTCAACGCGTAACCCTAGGTCAACGCCAGTCAACGCGTTACGATCAAAAAATCAACGTACGACGTTCGAAACCCTAGGGTCAACGCCGGTCAACGCGTAACCCTAGGTCAACGCCAGTCAACACGTTGCGATCAAATAGTCAACGTACGACGTTCGAAACCCTAAGGTCAATGCCGGTCAACGCGTAACCCTAGGTCAACGCCGATCAATGCGTTGCAATGAAAAAATCAATACTCCAAAAAGTATACGAGTATAAACTGCTCCTTAATACTCCAATAAGGTATACGAGTATAAACTATTCCCTATTTTTGGTTAAGAAGTTTCTGGAGAATATTTTTCTAAAAATACTCTTAAGGATAACTCAACAACACTACGCCGGACAACGCGTCGCAAATAAAGACTCAACGTCAACGATCGATGGTCAGTTATATGTTGAACCAGCAAACACGAGCTAAAAGATCAGAAAATCAGGAATCGACTTCAAGTTTAAAATTCCGACAACGGTCAGACAATAAATGCAGCACCGGAACCCTTACAGACATTCGACAAAGCACCGAATAGCCTGAAGGATTGAAAGAATCAAGAACAGAAGCCATTCCAAGGTCCCGTTACATCGACTGAAGGTTAGGACAATCATATCCAAAGTATTCCAGACTCTTCTATAAAAGAACGAGACTAAAATACTTTGGAGGGGGTATCTGTAGGCGTATAAAACTACTTATGGGTCCCTTAACAAAGCTCGGCACGACGATTCGACAAACCAACGAACCATCGGGTGACGTATCTAAACACGGGCGTTAATCCGCAACACTGAAGCCAAGTGACACGCAACGAAGCGGATTAACGAGGCGACGAGGTTAACGAACCGCACGCGAACAACAGAATACATCCACTCGCGTGTGGAATCAAGCTAACGGTTCGGTGAGTCAACGAGTCATCCAACTGTATAACGGATTCGAACTCGAACTCCAAGGCGGATTTACTACCAAATCGGGATCCGGACTGCCAAATCAGAGTTCAGATCAACGACGAAGCAGATTTACTGCCATATCGGAATCCGGACTGCCAAATCAGAGTCCAGATCAACAATAAAACTCGGATAAACCACGAAACCGGACGACGTGCGACACGGCAAACAACCGGAAAAAGCTCGGCCAAAAGCCATCTAGGCGGCTCGGTGAGCCGAGCCACCAAGTGGTGGCTCGGCGGCCGAGCCACCAAATGGTGGCTCGCGGGCCACCAAGGTGCTCGACCCACCACCGAGCCACCAAAAGATGGCTCGGCTGGCCGAGCTACCAAGGTGGCCGGCCGAGCTACCAGGTGCGCGCCGGCCGCAGCCACCTTGCGTGGCTCGGTGTTGGCCGGAGCCACCCCTCTTCCGACGCGCGGATCTGGGCTCATATCTGAGCCCAGATCCGCTTTTAATTGCCTATAAATAGACCCCTATGGCTCATTTATCAAAGGTTGAAATTTTTAGAGCCGAAACTCTGCTGAAGTGGGAACTCAACCTCGGATTTGCAACTTAGAAGACTCAGACTCTCAGATCTGGTTCTTGGCGATCATCCTCGCTATATTAGGCAGGAGTTCGAGAGATCAGATCTGAGATCTACACGGTTTCCCTCCGGATTAAAGCTTGGCCTTTGATCCCGAGAAGAGTCTCGATTTTGCTTGGTCGATTTCTATAACTTAGGCTATTATTTCCTTGGCGAAATTATCCCCACGGCCGTTATTTCCTTGGTGAGATAACGCCCGCTATACCGTGTAGATCCGACCGGATCTAGATCGCGCGGTGGTCCACGGATAAACCCCGACGCAGGTAAAGAACCCACAAAAACAAGTGACCGTAAAACAGGAGCTCGTGATTCGTTCGACATATAAGGAAAAAGTTATAATTTTTATTTTCTTTTGATCTCGTTGTAACCGGATCTTATAAAAAGACCGGATCTTTGTGTAATCGATAAACAATTGCCAAAGAGCACAATGACGTCAATGAAAGCTACGATTTTTTCCGCGAACAGTCACTTCGTGAAGTTGATCATTGTCTGATCACACCTCCTTTCTATGATTTATGTAAGCTGCAACAATCACTTGCGCAAATCTAGTTAAAGGACTTCCCATTTGCTTTTGATATCTATATCGCCGATATCTAGCTATAACGCTGATCAACGATACCGCACTTACAACAGCTGACACTGCAAAACCACACCCTACACCCTTTTTCTGTGATACATAGCCAACACCTCCAATGCCTAGAATGCCTCCTACGTTGATGCTGAGGTAAAACCAATTGAAAAATGAGTGCTTATTCTCTGCCTCGGAAGCATAAGTCTCATCGAATTGATCAGCCCCAAAGGTGCTGACACAAGGCTTGATACCACCTATACCTATTGCAATTATAGCAAGGGCTCCATAAAGGAATGCTTCTTGTTTTCTGCTCGCAGGCAAGCCTGGGGGTGGCTGGAAACCTTCCAGAGTAGCCGACAATGTTAGCATTACCACTCCCTACACAATTGCAAGCTAATTAGATGGTATGTTAAAAATAACGGGCCTTTTTTAATTGAGATAGTGATATCTTAAATCTTTCATGCTGTAAAATGATCATAAAACAAATAGTACTTAGAGATGCATACATACCCCCGTAAAGATTGAGGAACTTATAACAATTGTCATGAAACGACCGAGAAAGGCATCAGCTACAAATGCACCAAAAAAGGCAAGAAGATGTCCAAATGTTGAATTAATCTTGTTAAGATAGTTTTATTTACTTCATAGGTTAGTTAGTTGGTTATTTAGTTGGTTATTTTCCAGTCAGTTATCTTTTCAGGTTTCCTGTGCACGTTGTGCACGTTTGCACATCTTATTGTATTTAGTTTTTTTTTATGACAGAAAAGTGTGTGTGTTGTTGCAGTCACCAAAATCAGTTCTTCTTCTTCTTCTGTGTGTGTGTGTGCATTCATCTAAAGGAGAAATTAATTCTAACATTTGGTATCAGAGCACGGTTGGGATTGGATGCCAAAGATCATGCCGGCGGATGCAACACCATCGAGCAGTGGAACTGGCAGCACAGTGACGCTGAAGACAACTGGAAGAGAAGGGACAGTCTCTCTTCAGTACCCGCTGCTCACGAAGAGCAACTATTCCGTATGGGCGCTCAAGATGAAGGTGTACATGCGTGCACAAGGCGTATGGGACGCCATTGAGCCCACTGACCTCAATGATGAGGTAGAGACGCGGAAAGATCAGATGGCTCTCGCAGCCATCTATCAAGCCATCAGTGAGGAAACTCTTCTCGTGTTGGCTGAGAAGGAAACGGCCAAGGATGCGTGGGAGATGTTGAAAACAATGCACATGGGCGCTGAGCGCGTCAAGGAGGCAAAAATTCAAACTCTGAGAAGTGAGTTCGAGGGTCTTCGCATGCGTGAAGCGGAGACAGTGGATGATTTTGCTGCAAAGCTGACAACTGTTGTCAACAAGATTCGTGCATTGGGCGACAAGATAGATGAGGTCTATGTCGTTAAGAAACTTCTCCGTGCAGTCCCTTCCAAGTTCCTTCAGATTGCATCCACCATTGAACAGTTTGGCAACCTCAACACGATGACAGTTGAGGAGGTCATCGGATCGCTCAAGACCCATGAAGAACGATTGCGTGGCTATGGTGACAATGAGGAAGAACACGTCCTATTGACGAGTGCAAAGTGGAAAGGGAAACAAGCGAAAGGAGAAGGAGAGAGCTCGTCCAATTCATATAAAGGACGAGGAACTAGTAGCGGACGCGGTCGTGGCCGTGGGTGTGGCCGTGGTCGTGGTCGCGGGCACAGTGAAGGTGGTCGCTGGAATGAGTCCAATCATCGTGAGAGAAAGTTCCACAAGACCAAGGTGAAGTGCTACAATTGTCAAAATTATGGGCATTTTGCCTCGGAATGTCGATCTAAGAAGAAGGATGAAAGGGCTCACTTTGTGGAGGCACAAGAGGATGATGATGAACTAGCACTTTTGACGATGAAAGTTTGTGAGTGTGAGAATCATAGGGAACTGACAACGGAGGAAGTGATGCTCTATGAGGAGAAAGTGAAGCCAAAGTTGAATGAAGGAGAAGAAGTGGTGCACGACAACTCTGGTTGGTTTCTTGACACTGGAGCAAGCAACCACATGACGGGTTGCAAGGAGCTGTTTTCAGAACTAGATGAAAGTGTGACTGGGAAGGTCAAATTTGGCGATGGTTCTGTTGTGAACATTCGAGGAAAAGGCACAGTGATGTTTCAGTGTCAAAATGGTGAGCATCGATTCTTTACAAATGTTTATTTCATACCTAGACTGCGTAGCAATATAGTGAGTTTAGGTCAATTGGATGAGAATGGATGCAAAACTGTGATAGAAGATGGTTGTTTGTTGGTGTATGATAGAGCTAGAAAGCTGCTGGCAAGAGTAAGAAGATCAAGAAATAGATTGTATATTCTAAACTTGAAAACAACTCACTCAGTGTGTTTGTTGGGGAAATTAAATGAAGTTGAATGGCTGTGGCATGCACGTTATGGCCATTTAAACTTTCAGGCATTGAGGAACATGACCAAGAAGGGAATGGTGATAGGAATGCCTATCGTTGATCACATAACTCAAGTGTGTGATGGGTGTGTCATTGGCAAACATCATCGTACACACTTTCCCCAAAGCGCAAGTTTTCGAGCTGAGACCCCGCTCCAACTCATGCATGGTGACTTGTGTGGCCCAATCACTCCTACAACACCTGGAGGTAACAAATATTTTATGTTGCTTGTTGATGATTATAGTAGGTACATGTGGGTTGTGATGCTCAAGAACAAAGATGAAGCATTACATGCATTCAAGAAGGTGAAGGCAAGTGCAGAGATGGAAGCTAATACTAAGCTGAAGGCATTCCGAACCGATAGGGGTGGGGAGTTCACCTCTAAAGCATTCACCCAGTACTGTGAAGACTCAGGCATCAAGCATTTCCTCACAGCCCCATACTCTCCGCAGCAGAACGGCGTTGTCGAGCGAAGAAACCAAACTGTTTTAGGAATGGTGAGAAGCTTATTAAAAAGCAAACATGTACCAGCTACATTTTGGGGAGAAGCTGTGAAGACAGCAGTATATATATACTCAATCGAGCTCCAACAAAGAGTGTGGAAGGAGTGACACCATATGAGAGGTGGACTGGTCGGAAACCGAAGGTTCAACATCTTCGAGTTTTTGGCTGTTTGGTGCACGTCAAGACTGTGAGTCCATACACAAAGAAGCTGGCTGATAGGAGTGCGCCAATGGTGTTTCTGGGTTATGAACCAGGATCAAAAGCTTACAGAGTTTATGATCCTAATTCAAAGAAGTTGAGAATAAGCAGGGACACAATATTTGAAGAGGATAAGGAATGGAATTGGGGGAATAGACAAGGAGGAGAATATTCTGGAGCTCATTCATGTGGCACGTTCACCGTGCATTATGAATCTGAGAAAGGTGAAGACGCGCAGAACTTTGATGAGCAATCAAGCGGGCAATTCTCTGAAGGTGCGACTTCGCCTCACACTCCCATGAATCATAATCATGCACAGGATGCTGGAGAACCATCAACAAGCTCAGAGAGGCCTCGCAAGTATCGTTCTCTACAAGATGTGTACAATGACACAGTTGAGATGGATGAGGAGGTAGGGCTATGTTTCTTATCTTTAGAAGAACCTGCAACTTATGAAGAAGCAGCAGGCAATGAAAGTTGGAAACAAGCCATGGCGGAAGAAATTGCAGCAATTGAGAGGAATAACACATGGGAATTTGCAGAATTACCAAAAGGGCACCGTGCTATTGGTTTGAAATGGGTATATAAGGTGAAGAAGAATCCTGAAGGAGAAATAGTAAAACACAAAGCTCGACTCGTGGCGAAGGGTTATGTACAAAAACAGGGAGTGGATTTTAATGAGGTATTCGCTCCAGTTGCACGGCTTGAAACTGTAAGGCTCTTGATTGGTCTGGCAGCACAGGAGAACTGGGAAGTACATCACATGGATGTAAAATCTGCATTCCTAAATGGCGAGCTAGAAGAAGAGGTGTATGTAGCACAACCTGTTGGATTCGAAGCAAAGGGCCATGAGGGGCAAGTGCTGAGGCTGAAGAAGGCGTTATATGGACTGCGTCAAGCACCTCGAGCATGGAATTCGAAGCTTGATAAGTGCTTACAGTCATTGGGGTTCATCAAGTGTCCTATGGAGCATGCTGTGTACAAGCAAGAACTGGGGGGTGAAATCCAAGTGATTGGTGTCTATGTAGATGATCTTATTATTACTGGGTCAAGTGTCGAACATATTGCAAAGTTCAAAGAGCAGATGAAGAGGCTATTCGACATGAGTGATCTTGGATTATTGAGCTACTATTTGGGCATTGAAGTGAAGCAAAATTCACATTCCATCACACTGTCTCAGTCAGTATATGCTCTAAAGATACTTGAGAAGCTTGGAATGGCCGAATGCAATCCCTGTCAAATCCCCATGGAGCCGAGACTTAAAATGAGTAAAGTGAATATCAGTCCCCCAGTTGATGCATTTCTGTATAGAAGTGTCATAGGGAGCCTGAGGTACCTAGTCAACACAAGACCTGATTTAGCCTACTCAGTTCACAGAAACAGAGAGTGGTGGCACTCTCCTCATGCGAAGCTGAATATGTGGCTGCTACAGCAGCAACATGCCAGGGTATTTGGCTTGGGCGATTGTTGAGTGAAATTAAGGGAGGTGAACCTGTCAAAGCAGTCCTCAATGTAGACAACAAATCAGCCATTGCTCTCACGAAGAACCCTGTGCATCATGACAGAAGCAAGCACATTGATATCAAGTATCATTTTATTCGTGACTGTGTTCAAAAGGAAGAAATTGAAGTGGTATATGTGAAGACTGAAGATCAACTTGCTGACATTCTGACGAAGCCACTTGGTCGTCAAAGGTTTGTCGAGCTACGTGAGAAGATAGGACTGAAGGATGTGAAGAAGTTGCAACAAGATTAAAGGGGTGAATGTTGAATTAATCTTGTTAAGATAGTTTTATTTACTTCATAGGTTAGTTAGTTGGTTATTTAGTTGGTTATTTTCCAGTCAGTTATCTTTTCAGGTTTCCTGTGCACGTTGTGCACGTTTGCACATCTTATTGTATTTAGTTTTTTTTTATGACAGAAAAGTGTGTGTGTTGTTGCAGTCACCAAAATCAGTTCTTCTTCTTCTTCTGTGTGTGTGTGTGCATTCATCTAAAGGAGAAATTAATTCTAACAATCCCTACCCAGTCTGTAACATGCGTCCTTGAGTCCGGCAATTGAAAATGCATCACTTTATGGAAATAATTCCCCAGGCTCATTACTATTGTGAAATACACTACCCTTTCTGCCATCTTCTCCGCTATCAAACGAGCATAAAAACATATTAGAGAAGTGAAAGATAAAATATATAAAATTCATGATCAATTAACATGATTAACGAATAATGCTTAATTTACCAATGATAAAAGGAGCAGCCTTCCATCCTCCTGTTGTTCTTTTGTCAGCAATCTCTCTGCGATAGTCGACAAGACCATTGTTTACCAAAGTCGTTGAAGAATCTTTAGCATCCACAAAGTTGTCCATTGATGTAACTAGAAATTGCTTATATTTTCTCAGTTGTTTCTTCTTTGAGGATAAAAATATTGGTAATAGATTGGAAGAAACCATGCCAATGTTGTATTTTACGTTCAACTAATGTGAGCTGGAAAACTTTTGTTTTTTTTATAATAATAGGCTAACACGGTTTTTTTGCTTAAACATATTGCTCGGGATAGCCTGGACATAAATAAAACAACTACCATATAAAACATTCTCCTTCCTGGTTCTTTACTGTATTTAGAACAATATCAGAAACTGAATGGAATTTTAAACATATCGAAACTGAATGGAATTTAAAACTTATCACAACTGAGATCAACAACAGTTTTCCTCCAGCCAGTTACTTTCATCAAAACAATGATATTTATGCATGAAGTGAAAAATCTTTTCACTTACAATATGTTAATTGTCATGCTTTTAATAGGAAATATGGATACAAAATGCAATGAGAATTGTCCAAATTATAGATATCATGATAAAAGAATATGGATCTTAAACGGATTACCTTGCAGTTTTCATTATGTTATATAATTTTCAATAGAATGAGATAGTTTTTTTCAGCAACAGTTTACATTGCAGTTGTAACATGGAACTTAAAGATCTACGTACCTTACTGTTTTGCAAATTTACACCAACGATGAAGAAAGTTGCAAACACATTTTCCTCATCGCCATCATGTGTCATCAACATATACAATTGATTATTTGCATACATTTATTTTTCTAATTAATGTCGAAAGAAAAACATAATTTTACAAGTGATGCCAATACCTCAAACGTAACAGACATCATAGGCTTCTTTCTCTCCCTCTAACCTCTCCTCTATATGATATCTTCAAACGTGCACCCACCCCCCCAACCCCCCTTTCAGGTTTTGTAGTTGCAATTTTGGTTCAGTTGTAGCGAGTGCTTAGGCGATATTTGCCTTGTGCTGAGCACTAATGTGTTGGCGGTCGTACTTGTTTTTGTAACATAGAAAGCATAATATATGTCCCTTTGTAATCTGTTAGTTGTGTCTCTCTTGTGCTTCCTTTCTGTTGGTCGTTGGACGAAGTTTACCCTGTAAAAACGTAGTTAATTAAACCTTTCATTCCCTTGGCATATGTAACTTCGTATTAAGGCTGCATACTTGCTTTTCCTCTCTTCAGTTTATTTTATTTTTTATTTTTTATTTGGTACCTGCCTCTCTGGAGCAAATCTGACCTTTTGTTCATAAAGTTCGGAAAATATTTGATGGTTTGACATTGGATCCAATCAGCAGTCTTCAAACCATTATCAATGGTATAACATTTATAGCTTCTGCACTGTTAATCATCTGGTTGAGGATGATTTATTTGGTGTATTGAGAATTTAGATCTTCACCTGATTGCTCTACCATATTACCTGTTTAGTTAGTGTTTTTGTATCTACATTATGCAATTACAATCAAAATTTTAGGCTGCAAACCATGCTACGAGCATTATTTTATCTGTACTTAAGAGTATGTGCCCTCTAAAGATCATATTGTCAATTTTTCGGTCATTATAACTCTGTTTCTAGTGAAAATTTTAAATTTACAAAAGCATAAAATAGACAAACAATGATTTAGAGATGTAGCTGCAGAAATGGAGAACTATGAGTTGCGGTTACAATTGGTGCTTCTTGCAATTAGCTTTCAGCAGGACTTATTTTGTTTAGATTGCCTGTGCGTTATCGCAATCAAACTTTTCAAGTACTTTGTGTTTATTCTTTCAATATAATTTCAGTTTTTTTCTGCTTGCTTCTGCTTTTGATGCAATGTAAGTTCAGAATTAAGTTTTAGTCCTTTGGCTGAGCGATATTGAAGCAGTTAAGGATAAATGGAGCGACCAGATTAATAATTTTGCTAGTATTAAATGTAGTATAGATTTTTTTTTGTTTCTGTCCTTTTTTTGCCAAGCGCCCGCTTTCTTCGCCTCCCTCTCCNCCATTAAGCCCTTCGCTTCGGGCCAAGGAGGCCCACGATGGCCCATCGGACTTCAAGTCCTACCTGCAGTATCTAATGTGATCTCTAAATCTCTCCAAATTCTCAATCATATCTAATTCGATTTTTTGTTCTTGACATTGGAGGATAAGCTCCCAAATCCAGTGAGGGAGATTATGGTGAAGAAATTGGTCCTCAATATTCTAGTTGGAGAGAGCGGAGATCGATTCACCAAACCGCTAAGGTATCCATTGTCATTCTTTTTTAGCTTTAAGGCTTATGAATTATTGCAAAAGGGATTATGGTTAGCTTTAAGTTGCTTATGAAAGTTTAGACAAGCAGTTTCTTAATAATTTTGGCTAGTATCAAGTGGTGAAGGTGCCAGAATTAGCACAAAAAATACTGGAGTTTTTTCCCCTTGTTTTAGGTTCACCATGAAAAGTTGTATTGTATTCTAGCTAATCAATGACATTGTAGGTTTGTGCTATTAAAGCACCTAGATTCTGAAAAAAAGGAAAAATGGTCTGCAAGATCTTATTGCTGTGATTGTGGAAGAAGTGAGTTCAATTTCATCCAGTTGTTGTTTTTTTAAACTTTTTAAACTATTGGCACAATTTATGTTTTTTTTATATCCTGATTAAATTATCGCATATGATGATTACCTATCTCATGTTTCTTTAGGAAGTAAGGGCTTTTATCCTTTGTTTGAGTATTTCTTAGGTAAAGCATTATTGGTGTTTTTGCTATGCAAAAAAGAAAAAAGAAAAAAATAGTATTGGTTTATGGAGATGCCCATCACCCTTCATTTTGGTTCCTTTGCAGATCTTGTGTGTCTTGATGGCCTGCCTGCCTGCCTGGAAACTCCTGATTTCAGATCTTCATATTGAAATTCTAATTTTGAAATTGACGTTCATGTAATATTTCAGGATGCAGGTCATCGCACTTACGGAAGAACTCTTAGCTACTGCAAAGCATAATGAAGAATCTGGTCTGGTGGCCCAACATAATGCAGATGCATCTCCCGAGCAGGAGACGTTTAGTAGAATTTCACAGTTAAGTAGACCGTAAGTTCTTAAGATACTATGTACAATTAGCATGCCTCTTTATGTTAGCAATAGATCCACTTGACTTTGAAAAGTCAAGAAAAGTGCAATAGTTAAACAAAATCCTGTTAATGGCACTATGAGCAATAAAAAGAAGAATATTGTTTATCCTGAATACTGACTTTAAAGAAAAAGTTACTTGTTAGCTTGTTTGCCATGATTGATTGGAATACACTACTACTTTGCAATATATTGAAGTAGTAGTTTTGTTTTGGGATATCCGTTTAGTATGCATTTATGTAGTATTTTTGGTCATACCAGGAAACCTTTCTTTTGATTCAAAGTTAGGTCCTTAGTATGCAACTATCAGTTTGGCATTCATTAAAGGGTAGCGAGATTTACATTTAAGAAGTACATGGCAAGTTGAGTCCTTTCTTTTGATTCAAAGTTGGGTTTTCAATTTAAATCTACGTTAAGATTCTTAATCAATCAACAGATGCCAAGGAATTGCCATATGGCGTAATTGGTGTTAGACGGCTTCTCAAGCAGTGTTCACTCTCTTTTTTCCCTTCTTTTATTTTCTTTTTTCTTAAGTGAAAAAAAAAGTCCCTTGAGAATGTAACTTTAGCATAAAAAACTCGTATATGCACAACTATTGGTTGTGAGTTTGCTTGTTGCGGCCTCTTGTTTGAGGAATATAGAAGATAAATCCAGTTAGGAATATCTATGAGCATATACAAGTAAAGGACAAAACCATAAATATCAATTAGTTTTTATGCTTCCCTTTGGTGGCTGTGGATGCTTTTGTTTCCATGTTTCTCATGCGATTTCCTGGAAAATGGATACTATCATATTTACACGGCTGACAGATCTTTAGTTATAGCATCTTATTATTAAGGTTTACATGTACCCAAAGATAAGCATAATATCTAATTATGGCCATATCTTAATCTGTCTTTAAGTGTTTCTGAATTTGATAATTGGGAGGATACTTCATAAGGAGATTCTAAAGTAGGTTCTGCTATTGCGTAATATTTTTTGTTTATATCATACAAGTAGTCGTGTTGTTCTTTGAATAACTTATATTTACCTTCTTGCATGATGTATCCTCCTGCGCTACTGATAAAAATGAAATTTGAGTTTGTTAAAAAAAGAAATCTACCTAGATATCTTTATCTTTGGTTGTTTCATCATTTATGCTCATGTATCTGATGTCTTTTGCTTTAGGTATCAAGTAAATGAGTTGGATGGATGTTAATTGCCAAGTTATCTGCAGCGAATTGTTACAAGTCTGACCATTTGAAAAAAAAAACCAGAGAACTGGGAACTAGGTAATTTCTTTTCTTGTGTTCCTCATTGTCAAAATCTCTTTCTAACTACTATACGTATTGCGAAGCTTGTCTCCATCTGTGTTGTCATATGTTTATTATGTTGTCAATGTGTCAATGTGCTTCATAAAGGCTTCGACGTGAAAATAAAGTTGCATATGCTAATAAACTGTTACAGCATATCCCAGTGGTGAAAAGATAAATACTTGGAGTTAATCTAGTTAAAGAAATGCTTGAATTGTGTTCTTTTGGTAATGGTATTTATTTCATTATCATTGTACTTCACTTTATTTTAGAGCTACATGCGTGCGTCTAAGTATTGTTGGTTGCTTAGTTGAAATTACATTTTTATTCTTACAACTGATTATCTTATTGGGAAATTGTTTTCCAACTTTCAGTTACCTTGCCAATTTATTTGAGTTTGGGAAGACACTGAATATGACAAGTTAAAATGTGCATGATTTGATGAGGCATGTGTGCTAGATTGGGCTTTTATGCTTAGATGCTCTTCGAATCGATGGAAATGGAAAATCACCATGATGGCTCTTTTAAAAAGAAGAACTTTTGAAACACATGGTTGTTTATTCAGGATATTAGGGCTGAAGATAGATGAACAGGTGCTTCGGTTGTTACCTAGGATATGACCGATAGAATTCAAGAACACATCTAGTTACGGATCTGATACATGTGCACTAAAATCTGTTGTAAACTAAAATTTCTTAAAATCAAGAAATCATGACTGAAGATTGTGATCATGTATATTAACTAGACTACATTCATCAGCCAAAAAAAACTAGAATATAATCAATAGGATTCTAAATTATCTGAACAAACCATATATGATTTATGATTTGCAAATCGGAAGTTCTAAATACGAAGAAATGCACAATTCACAAAAGCTCCACAAAATTTATTTTTGTCATGTGTATGTTTTTGGTTTAATGAATATGATATATGTACACCCAAAACTTTTTATAGAATTTGTAGCCTTTCTCAAATAATTTTAAAAATTTTTGATGCTACTTTATTCTTGATATGCAGGAACTTGGATTTGATTATGTTGGAAGCAGAGAGAGCAACTTGTCATGATGTTGCAAGCAAACTGGAATATTTAAACAGTTGTTCCCTTCTTTCTTTTCTCTCACATTTTCCTCTCTTTCCATTGTGTTTCATTTTTTCCTTCATGGATTACAAGCAAACTGGAATATTTAAATAGGCCTTTGAGTGTTGACTTGGAAATGAAAATGGATGTAACTATTTTGGAATGGGAGCAAATTCTTTGTTTATAATAATATGCAACTTGTTCGGAGTATAATTTGATGTTTGGTTTCTTTGTTAATGTGAATGAGAGAAAATTTTTTGTGGATGTTCAGGTTCAGTGTAGGCTTGTAGTTGACAGAAAAGATATTATTTTTGTCGATGCAAATTAGTATCGACAAAAGTATACTTTTTACTGACGCATAATTATGCGTTGTCAAAAATTATACTTTTAGCGACGCTATCTTGCGTCGCCAAAGATATAGTTTTTAGCGACGCTTCATTCTGCGTCGCTAAAAGTTACACTTTTGCCGACGCTAACTTGTGTCGCCAAAAGTATAATTTTTAGCGACGAACAGTTTTGCGTCGCTAAAAGCTATACTTTTGCCGACGCATTGGTTTTTGTTGACGCTGCATGTGTCGCCAAAAGTATAAGTTTTGCCGACGCACTTTTACATATGAAAAAATTCTGCATACTTTTGCCGACGCAAAATATTATGTGTCGCTAAAAGATGTAATTTTCCTGACGTATGAAGCGCCGCCAAAAGTGTTGACTTTTACCGACGCAGTGTGTTTGCGTCGTCAAATATTTTCCTTGACGCACTTTTGGTGACGCGTTAGCGACGCTGTATTTTGCGTCGGGAAAGATTTTTCCCGATGTTTTTTAAACTTTTGCCGATGTTTTTGTTTCGTCGGTAATGCTGTATTTTGTTGTAGTGGCATTTCATCAAATAACTCTCATGCAGCCTCCACCATCCTATTCTTCACATACCAATCAATCATCGATTTCCAAGTAACAAGATAAACCTCCTCAACGAAACCCTCAAATAACTTCCAAGCACTGTCCAAATCACCAAAGCAAACGTATGTATGAATTGCAGAGTTCTGAACATGCAAATCCTCTTCAAACCCTAGCTTCACAATTTGGGCATGCAGCAATTTCCCATTTTGAACAAGAACCATGTAAGACAACAGCTTGGCACGTAAAGGGAATATGAAATTACCGGAACATACGGAAGAATTGGTGACCAAAAAAAGGCGAGAGCTTCTTCGGGTTAGAGTTGAGGAGGAAGGACTTGATGATGGTGTTGGAGATGGATGCACCAGGGTTGGAAGGAAAGCAAAGAGGAAGACAGCAAGGTGAGGGGAGAGAGAGAACATGAGGTGTTTGATGAAGTGCCTGGTGAGGAATGGATCGTGACGCTGGCCGCTAACAAGGAATTGCGTGAGGATTTGAGAGATATGGGGAGGGGAGTGGAGGAAGGATGAGGATTTAGGTGGGCGGGGTGGGTGTGTGGAATTAGGGTTAGGGTTTTGTTCATGAGCTTTGAGTTTTCCGTTGAGGCTAGAGTAAGGTGGGGATTTCGTTTTTGTGGAGTTGAGCATTTAAGAGTTTTCTGATGGTGAGAGTGGAAGGGCGGAAGATTTTGGTTGGTTTAACAGTCATTTCAATTTAAATTTTTGATGAAACAAACGAAGTCTATAGCCTTTTTATGGCATCACACGAAGAAATTGATCCGCACCCCATGTCCGTCCTCTATGCAATGAAGATGTTCGAGGAATTTCCCCAGCGAAGAAATGGATGTCATTCATCACGTGTTGAGTACTTGTTAGCTCACTTGAACCCAAGTGTCAAGCGTTTGTACGGCAACCTCCCCAAACTTTTTAGCCTAAGCAACCTCCCCAAACTTGAACCTGGGCCAAGTACAAACAAAAACCGTCCTAAATTTGTTAGTTGAACCCAGGGATTGATCGTGGCCCATTATAAACGAATTCACATTAACTCATTATTTTGTACAACACTAGTTCTTGTACACGTGCATTGCACGTGGTTAAATATCAAAATTATTATTATTTATTTATTTTCTTATGATAAAGTAAGTTAGATTCATTTTGAGTTGAAATCTATAAATATGGATTATTACATTTACCATAAGTTTTATTTAAATATTTTTTAAAAAGTTATGAAAAAGATGATTAATTTTGAAAAAAAATTGGGGTCAGGAATAAACAACTAACAAGTTTGCAGTGGAAGATAGAGGAACATAGTACATTCTTAAAAATTATTAATCTTTATTTAGTTTGTTTATAATGATAGGATCTCTTTATTAACTAACTACAATGCCTAATACATTATTATTTTTTTGGACGTTCAAGGCAGGTAGAGGACCCATGTGAGTCCTCATCGCAATAAATGTTATACAAAATTGAAGTACAAAGAAAAAAAAGGAAGGTTAATCAATAGTGTAGTTGGTGAGGGGACACTCCAACAGTTTAATTTGGTACGTGGATATATAATAGATGGAGTTGGAGAATTGTGCTTTTAAAAATAGTGGGTGCGTGTGGATAATTAATATGGTTTTTATTTGTGTGGTTTTCTTCGTTCATTTTCAAGATGTCTGTGGTCCTGTGGATATATATAGCTATAACATTGCTACCCTCTTTTGGTTTTGTGGAAGAGTTTTGATGTTAAAAAAAATAAATTATCTAAGCCCATACATGAAATTTATTTTAACCGACACATGTGTGTAAATATTACAATTGGCATTGAGATCTAAGATATGTGTGAGATTCTCTTTAATTTTTATACAAATAATATCTATTTAAATAATAATCGTATAATTAAACTTTGTGATCTAAAAAAAGATTAAACTTTGTGGAAGAGTTTAAACTCTGTAACAGAGTTTATTTGAAATGAAATTCGGTTAGTAAGACAAGTATCAAAGCTCCTTGATCTTAGTTGTTGAAGAACACTCCAAGCTCTTTTCTGATCTCTAGATTCGAAAATGCTCAAAGATCCCAAGATCTAAAGATCCGAACTAAGCTGATCTTTCAGCTATTTATAGGTGATTAGGGGACGTAACCACCCCTAAAATCCCTCCTTTGTGGGGCTTGTGGGATGTAACCGCCCCTTAAATCACTCCTGAGTGGAGTTGTGATCCCCTCAGATAGTAGAAAATGGCAAACGTAGGAATTACGTTCTAGCATGAATTCTACATTCAAACGCAGCATTTGGAAGCTCGAACGTAGTGTCTGGAAGCTGCATTTGCAGCGGTTTGGAAGCTACGTTTGGCAGCACTTGGAAGCTGCGTCTATAGCCTTCTGAGGCTGCGTTTGCGACCAAACATGAGCTACGTTGACAGCTGGATCTGAGTTGCGTTTGCAGTGTTTAGAGCTGAATGTGAGCTTTGTTTGCGGCCAGGTTTGAGCTGCGTTTGCATTGCTTTGACTCTGGAATGAGGCCACTTGCGTTTTGATTTAAAGATATCGTTAATTTGTAGTTTCTTTTGCTAGAGCGTGCAAAGATCGTCATCTTGTAACCTTCGTCTTGACTCCTTGAAAATATAAGAGTGGTCAGATTGTAACTCCCGATGTTGATTGTGAAGACTGTTAAATTAGAGCTTTCATCGGTTATTGTGAAGGTTGTTAGACCCTAGAGGAGGGTGATTAGGGTCTTATGCTAATCTAATCCGATTAAATGCCAATTAAAAAACTAATTAACAAGTTATCCTAGTAAGTATGAAATACAACAAGATATGTAAGCTAGGTTAAGCAATATGAACAAATGAATATATCCTATCAATGAGATATTACAAGTATATGAGCAAGGATATATAAACTCAAGGGTAAACAATCTAAACTAGATAGTGGGCAATATAATCAACAAGCAATATACAAAGGCGATATAAGATATGAACATAAAAGTAAGTGCACCAATGCAATCACAAACAAACAATATGATTACGGAGTTCGGTCCCCACGACCTACGTCTCCGCTCCTCACCTCGAGGAGATCTCCACTATCTCAACCGGGTTTTCTACGTTCACCCGAACAACGTTTACACTTCACAATACAATCACTATGCAATCACACTTCACACACTAAGTGTTGGTCCTAGCCCGTGTCCTCCTCCTCAAGTGCTCGGTTACAACCTCTCCCTAGGCACGTCAACCGACGCCACTCCTCTGGGATTCAACCCCGTCTCTCACCACACACTTCTCTCGGTGTACAAGTGTATTACAAGTGAATCCTCACAATTAGGCACAATATAAATCAATTGATTGTTCTCTAAACAAGATGAGAACTCAATTAAGCTCACTCTCAATGTCACAAACCCACAACCCTAAATTATACTATGAATGTAAATACAATAAGCTCAATAGGTTGTGTGTGAACAAAGAGTATCAATAAAACGATTAAACTAAACTCAATATAAATCTAGCTTATGGAAATTATAATCAAAATAATAAATTGCTAGATGGGTTTAGAAACACTTCTCTAAAGATAACAAGAGAGTGGGAGAAGAGTGAATGCTCAAACACCAAAGGATGATCTCCACTTGCTCTTGTGAAATTTGCTTCACAAACAAAACTCTTAAACACTCTTTTAAACAAACACAAAACACCCTTAAACTTATTTAAACAATTCTCTTAGTTAGGTTGAAAGAGAACAGCAATAGGGTATTTATACCAACTCAAAAATTCAGCCAAAACCCCTAACAAAAGACAAAAACAGCCCCAGCAAACAGCTCAGAAAAATAGCCGTTGGAAGCCAACGGATACATTGGCGGTCGACCGGGGAAAATATTCACAAACAAAACTCTTAAACATTCTTTTAAACAAACACAAAACACCCTTAAACTTATTTAAACAATTCTCTTAGTTAGGTTGAAAGAGAACAGCAATAGGGTATTTATACCCACTCAAAAACTCAGCCAAAACCCCTAACAAAAGACAAAAACAGCCCCAGCAAACAGCTCAGAAAAATAGCCGTTGGAAGCCAACGGATACATTGGCGGTCGACCGGGGAAAATAACAATTCTCTTAGTTAGGTTGAAAGAGAACAGCAATAGGGTATTTATACCCACTCAAAAACTCAGCCAAAACCCCTAACAAAAGACAAAAACAGCCCCAGCTGTTTAAAAATATCAAATAAATTCCAAAAAATATAAAACTTTGGGGAATGATTGTAGACATGATAATAAACATGCTACAATGACTGGTTATCAAAAAGGACTTCCCAAATAA